CAGAAAGGAGATTCATGGTTGCTCAGGGCTTAGCAGGAAGGGTGGAGTTGAAGGTGGTAACTAAAGAGTACAAGGGTTTCCTTTTGAGGTGATGGTTGCACATATCTGTGAATATTCTAAATGCCATTGAATTGTGTATTTTAAATGGATGAATTTTAAAGTATGTAAATTATATCTCAATAAAGCAGTTATAAAAACTAAATTTAAAAATTAATACCTCCTATCCATATTCCTGTAAACACTGTTTATACCTCTAATAAAACATTTAGCACAGTGTGGTCATAATTATTAACTTAAGAAATCTGTCTTTCACATTGCATTAGGAAGTTCCAAAAAATAGAGTGTTTTTTTTTGTTATTCCCTAACAAGCAAGTGCTTTGCTCTCAGTGAATATAAATTCAAGTGAACTTCTTCATAATTAAATTCCTTCACCTGTAAAATGAGAATGAGAAAAAAATAATTAAATGTTGCCACAAAGTCTTGTGCCCAAACTGTAGTTTCTAGTTTTTATACTTAATTAGTATTTGAAAAAAGTAAATATTTGCTCTTCACTTGAAGTAAATATTTCTTCACTTGAAATTTCCATTTTATATTTAGCAAGGTCATATATAAGCCATTTATCACCTTATTTTTACCTGTAGGAATAATGTCATTGGAATTTGCTTACAAAGCATTTTATACACATTTATCAGTAGGACCTTAATGTCATTTCAACTAGCTTAATAATGGATTGTTTTTTAAGTAAAACTGACTTTATAAAATTAGAATTTACATTTTTGTGGATGTTTGAATTTAACATAATTTTTCTTTTTTCTGTGGTGTGTCTACATGTGTGTGTGTGTTATTTTTCTAGTACTTACTAGAGATGAAAAGTCTAATTTTACCTCCAGAACACATTCAGAAGCGGGGTGATAGTGAAGCAGTTGCCTATGCTTTCTTTCATCTTCAGCACTGGAAGCGAATAGAAGGTGCTCTTAATCTGTTACAGTGTACATGGGAAGGCAGTAAGTATTCTTTTCCAAATGCTACCCTGATCTCTCTGACTATTCACTGCATTCCCAGGCAGCCTTTTTAAGTGAGATTGTCTGAGTTTCCATAGGACTTGTTGTTCAGATTGAACTCAGTGATATTAATTTGGTTTATTGGTAGAACAGATGTTTAATGTACTTATATTGGTGCCACATTTAGGAAAAGCAGAATATGCCTCTAAAAAAGAAAAGAAAATGTTATGTGAAAAAAATCTATAAAATGTCTTAAAAATAGCTTTGATAGGTAATTAAGATGAAAATGAGTCTGAATTGAACGTCAACATGTTTTTGTTTTGTTTTTTTCCTCAGCTTTTAGAATGATTCCATATCCATTAGAGAAAGGCCATCTATTTCACCCTTATCCCAGCTGCACAGAGACTGCTGATAAGGAGCTATTACCTAGTAAGTAAATATTCTAGTTTTCTTAAACTTAAAAGTAGTTTAAGAAACTGGTGTGGCTCAGTTGATTGAGCATCATCCCATGCACTGAAAGGTCACTGGTTCGATTTCTAGTCAGGGCACATACCCTAGTTGTGGGTTCAATCCCCGGTCGGGGTGCATATGGGAGACAACCAAGATTGATGTGTTTCTCTCCCTCTCCCTTCCTCTCTCTCTAAAAATAAATAAATAAATAAATAGATAGATAGATAGCTTTTTTTAAAAGATTTTTAAAAAGTAGTTGTGAGATTGCTTTTCATAGTATTAACCCATTTTCAAAGTACCTTTGGTTGAACTTCAGGATACTGTTTAAATACTATTTTAGCCATTTCTTGGATGTACTTGCGTAATATAATTCATTCCCAAATATTTTTTGAATAGAACCCTGTGTTAGATGCAGTGAAGGACACAAAGATTAAATATATTAAAAAGAGAGGGCACGTTATAAACATTTAAGAAAGAAATATCAATATTTTACAAAATCTTTTTCAGAAAATAAAGGAAAAAAAGAACACTTCCCAACTCATTTTGTGATACCAAATCCACACAAAGACATTATAAGAAAACTATAGAACAATATTCTTCATGAATATAGACATAAACATCTTCAACCAAAATTAGCAAATTTAATCCAGTAACATATAAAAAGGATTACACTCCATGACCATGACAGTGGGATTGTCCTCACAAATGCAAGGTTGGTTGGCATCTGAAAATTTAATGCACCACATTAATAGAATAAAGAGCAATAGATTTTAAAAAATATCTGACACAAATCCAGCTTTTTAAAAAAATAAAATAAAATTCTGAACAAAGTAGGCATAAAAGGGAACTTTCTTAATCCGATAAAGAGTATCTACGAAAAACCCACAGCTAACACCATAGTTGATGGTGGAAGACTGAATGAATGCTTTCTCTAAGATCAGGAAACAAGGCAAGGATATATACTCTCACCATTCTGTTCACAATTGTTCTGGAGGGGAGGGTCTGGTCAGTGCAAAATCCCTAGTGGGATTTTGATAAGGATTATATTAAACCTATAGATCAATTTGGAGATCTGCAACTTTCCTCCCTAGACTTGATTTCAAGCAAGAAAAAGAAATAAAAGGCATTCATGTTGGAAAGGAAGAAGTGAAACTGTCTTTATTCACAGATGACATGATTTTCCATGTAGGAAATTGTAAGCACTCCATAGAAATACTATTAGAACTAAGAAACAAGTTCAGCAAGTTTGCATACAAAATTCAGTTACATATTTATATACTAGTAATGAACAGCCCAAAAATAAAATGTCAAATCAGTTCTAATTACAGTAGCATAAAAAAGAATAAACAATTTAGGAATAAATTTAACAAAAGATGTGTAAGATTTGTACACCAAAAATTACAAAATATTGCTGAGAGAAATTAAAGAATACCTGAATAAATGGAGAGACATTCCATGTTTATGGAATGGAAGACCCAACATTACTTATATGTCAATTCTCTCCAAATTGATCTGTAGATTTAATACAATCCTTATCAAAATCGCAGCAGGGATTGCGTGACT